TTTGTCCTCTTAAAATTGTAAAATATTAGATTGTACCACAATCTGAAATAAGACTGAAATATTGTACAGTGCACAATTTTATCTTTTGTTCTAAATAAAAAGTATTTTTAAATTAAACATTGCTTCTAGTAATACCTGTGTGGACTCCTTGTTGCAATATTCCTGTTTAACTGGGCAATGTTTATAAAGTTTTCTTAAAATATTATCCCTTCCACTAATATAAAACTCAGGAAAATGATGATTAGATCTTGTTGGAGATGGTCATTGCCTACCACTTGTGTGGAATGAATGTTACTCCCCACTTATCAGTCCAAGTCTTGCTGTACATGGACAGCTTCAGCTGGATTGTCTAAGGAGTCATAATTATGTTGAATATTGTGCAGTCATCAGCAAATGTTCCCACTTCTGACGTTTAAGATGGAGGTGATGGAAGAAGCAGCTGAAGATGGTTGAGCTTTGCACACTACCTTAAGAAACCCTGTAGAGATGTCTGAGACTGAGATGATTCGCCCCATCAAATACAGCCATCTTTGTTTATATGGGCTATGAATCCAACCGTTGAAGAGTTTTACCCCGATTCTTAGTTAATTAACTATTGTTGATGACATACTTGGTAAAATTCTGCCTCAATATCAATATCAATAGCAGTCACTCTAACTTGATCCATGTTTGCACCAAGACTGCAGTAAGATCAGCACTGGCCTTGATGCAACTCAAACGGAGGATCTGAGAGCAGGTTATTTCTGTGTAAATGTCACTTAGTAGCACTTTCAATACATCCTCCATCACTTTGAGAGTAGACTGGTGGGATGTTAATTGGATAGGATGGATTTGATCTATTTTTTGAGGACAAGACAAAAATAGATATTTCAGGAGGACACCAAGGTGGATCAAACTCCAAAGGCATCTCTTACTTGTACAAGACTACATTTACATACATTTGAAGAACCAGGAAGGTCTGATAACTGAACAGGCCCCATTTAACTTTGGCAGAAAGACCTTAGCCAGTGGTTTTTCTCCACTGTACCTTGGCAGCAGCTGCCCCAAGCTTTAGTGCATCCCTCAGCATGTGGACCTGGACCTTGGAATGTACCAGCCTGCAACACTTGGTCGAGGTCAACTCCTTCCTCTGGAAGACCAGCAAGTTTCAGGCAGACCAAAGAGCGTCTTTCACTGCATTGATGGTCCTCTAGGCGGTCGATGTTTGTTTTTGTGTGCATCTTGGGGAACAGCCCGTAGAGCACAGAATCCTGTCATGGAGCTGCTCAGGATAAACCTCGATGAAAACCATTGCATCTTTCTTTGCAAAGGTACATTTCAGGAGATGTGTGACAGTGTCTAAACTGTCCGTCCCACAGCAACTTCGAGGGCAGCATGCAGTGGTGCACAGAGTCCGGGCGTACATGAAGGATCTCATAGGTAGTACCCTTCTCACCATCAGCCAAGCGTTGTCGTGGTGCATGTTGGAGAGTTCTGGTGATGAGACATTCTGTGAAATGACTTTAACAGTCTGCTCAGGAAAAACCTGACAGGATCCATCCCGTCCTTTTCCTGCAGGGTCTCAAAAATGTCATGTGCTGATCACTTCCTGATGGATATCCACAAACATCCACTCCCTCCACCACTGACGCTCAATAACAGCAGTGTATACTAAATGCAGTTCAGAAATTCACCAGGATCCTTAGAGTCATGGTCCAAACTCATATTCGTTACCATCTAGAAGGCCAAAGCAGCTGATATATGGGAACACCACCATTTGCAAGTTCCCCTCCAAGCCATTCATCATCCTGACTTAGATATCTATCACGGTTCCCTCACTGTCGCTGGGTCAAAATCCTGGAATTCCCTCCCTAACAGCATTGTCAGTCTAAATACAGAACATGGACTGCAGCAGTTCAAGAAAGTAGCTCACAATCATCTTCTCAAAGGCAATTAGGGATGGGCAATAAATCCTGGCCCATCCAGCAATGCCCATTTGGCACAAATGAACTAAAGATAGCACTTCTGCAGCTAATCCTGTTTGGGTTAGAAAAATTGAGCATCCAGTTCAGTGCACTCTGTAAACTAGCTTCACTCAGCCACTGGGAAGGTTTATCTGCTTCAAAAAGTCTCCTGTTCACTGATCCATCTGCAACCCTTATATTTGCAAGCTAGATTTTTCACATCTTCCATTAAGTCAGCTCCTGTCACAGGTATGAAGTCCAGGCAGAATATTTCTTCTAATTAACCACCTTTGAAAGAGGACAGGCAGTTTAGCGCACTGCAGACTGGTTTCTTATTTTGTTGCTATCAGCTGGCTGACCATTGTGGGCACTTGGCCTCTGCCTCTGACTGGAGATCTGTCTAGTGGTGTGTATTAACCGCTGAGTACACCACCCGCTGCTCGGAGCCAAGTGCACCTAAACTGAAACAGAAATAGGGATTGCTGGAAAAGCTCAGCAGGTCTGGCAGCATCCGTGCAGAGAAATCAGAGTTAACGTTTTGCAGCTATGCTGAAAACTCAGTGCAACATCTTTCGTCGAATATCTCCACCGTGACCACGTGCGTAAGAACGTCAGGGGATTGACGTCAACTAATCAGGCTGGTCGGTTGATGTCTGTCTCCAGGGTAACGGGATCGTTACACGAAACAACAGGAGGATGGAAACGGAGAGTAACATCCACCCAGGAAAGGATCAAGAGCTGGGAACTTTGTCAACTGAATGTGACCGTTTGTAAAGCAGGTTGTGAAAGGCTGGCCTGAGCAAACTGCTGTTAATGTGTGTCCTCCTCTTGATGTTTCCATTATCTAAACCCTCACATGTCTTTTTTTTTTCTCCCCGTTTGAAACCTGCAGAATGGCGTACACCCAGGCTGAATGTGTGATTAAGAATATCATTCGGGAAATAGCCCAGGAGTGCGCTGATAGAGGACACTCCATTTCTGAGACTCTTGTAGCGTTCATGGTGAGTGCAGTGAGATTGGTACTCTAATGAGTTATTTGCGTTTTACTCAAGTGAATACATTCTTCATTACAGCAATGGTTACTTACTGTTTGGGACAAGAGCATTGAAAAAAATCAAACTTCATAATCTAGAGAAAACGTAACTATGCTATTGCAAACCTGGTGAGGAGCGCATACTCTGATATTCCGTAGAACACACGAATTTTCAAACTGGCTAATGCGAGAAAGAGGACTGCGGAGTGGTACCACGGGCAGATCCAATCCCCAACGAAGCGCCACACTGGGCTCACAGTCTGCCTCGATCAATGTTGTCCTCACTACCTTCCCATTGATTTAGGACAAACAGTACAGATCACAAGACTGTACAAATATCTCATCTCACCTCGTCTTCAACCAGAAAGGTGCACAGCTTGCAAAGTCTTGCTGTGCAGACCGGTATACTGCAGAAACAGCCAGAGCTGAGTAAATTATGCACAGTGTACCAATTTGGAGTGTAAAATGAGTACTGTATTTACATGAATTACATCAGAGGCTACGCTAATATTTCAGCCAAAGTATACAAAGATATTTGTTCATTCATCCCCCTTTCCTTTACAAGAAAAAAATTATATGCTTCATAAATTGCAGGTTACTCAACATACATAATCTATCAGGAATAATCTCTTGCATCAAGAAAAATCTGCATGTTCTTTCAATTTCAACTGCCCCTACACATGTATTTCACACATAATGTTCAGTTTTTCTGATTATATGCACCGGATTCTTTGTTGTCTGTTCGTCTGGTGTCTCCTGGTTCCTGGTGTGACATTGCTTTTCTGAGTCATGCTGTCGCAATACTCTGTTGTGTGGTGCTATTTGTTGCTGCTGATCTGTTGCATTTATTGGGAAGTATTTGACCTCTGGGATTGATGATTGTTCAGTTCCTCGTTTGCAAAATTAAACCTGCCTTACCAGCTGTCTGCTGTGAATGAACAGCTTCTCCGGTTTCATGTATACGCCTACGGTTGCGATGATACCTCTTGCTGTTCACTTTCACTATGTATAATCTAGGTGATAACTAATAATTTGTGATCTTTATAAATGACTTGGTTGAGGAAGTGGAAGGGTGGGTTAGTAAGTTTGCTGATGACGCGAAGGTTGGTGGAGTTGTGAATAATGTGGAGGGCTGTTGTAGGTTGCAACGGGACATTGACAGGATGCGGAGCTGGGCAAAGAAGTGGCAGATGGAATTCAACCCGGAAAAGTGTGAAGTGATTCATTTTGGAAGGTCGAATTTGAATGCAGAGTACAGGGTTAATGGCAGGATTCTCAGCAGTGTGGAGGAACAGAGGGATCTCGGGGTCCACCTCCATAGATCCCTCAAAGTTGCGACCCAAGTTGATAGGATTGTAAAGAAGGCGTATGGTGTGTTGGCTTTCTTTGGCGGGGGAATTGAGTTTAAGAGCCGTGAGGTTATGCTGCAGCTCTATAAAACTCTGGTTAGACCACACTTGGAATATTGTGTTCAGTTCTGGTCACCTCATTACAGGAAAGATGTGGAAGCTTTGGAGAGAGTGCAGACGAAATTTACGAAGATGCTGCTTGGACTGGAGGGCAGGTCTTATGAGGAAAGGTTGAGGGAGGTAGGGCTTTTTTCATTGGAGCAAAGAAGAATGAGAGGTGACTTGACAGAGGTTTACAAAATGATGAGAGGCATAGATAGAGTAGATAGCCAGAGACTTTTTCCCAGGGTGGAAATGACTATTACGAGGGGGCATAATTTTAAGGCGATTGGAGGAAGGTATAGGGGAGATGTCGGAGGTAGGTTCTTCACACAGAGAGTGGTGGGCATGTGGAATGTGCTGCCGGCAGTGGTAGTGGAGTCAGATACTTTAAAGACTTCTAAGCGACTCTTGGATAGACACATGGAGGATAGTAAAGTATAGGGTATGCAGGGTAGATTGATCTTAGTCAGATAATAGGTTGGCACAACATCGTGGGCCGAAGGGCCTGTACTGTGCTGTACTGTTCTATGTTCTATAACTGCTTTATACAGGTCCCCATATTGTTAAGTGGGCTGAAACTTGTTGAGAGCGTTGAACGTTGGTACTTTGACTAGCTATCCAAACCTCAGATCTGGCAATAATTTGGCTGTGTTTTCAAAGTGGAATTTGGCCTTCTGTCATTTCACCTTGATCTTGTCACTCACTTCTGTTACTAGGTATAGGTTCAGTAGATTTTTATGTTTTTGAAAAGTCGTATAGGTGCAGAGTGACATTAGTCACTGGGTTGGACTACTTTCCTTGCCTCAAGGAGCTGTGTTTCTCTAGTCCTATTATTTTGCTTGTGTTCATTTTATTAGTTCCTGTCCATGATCCAGCATTAGTTTCTTTAGCATGCTAACATCTTCATCTATTGTAAATATACTCTCGTAAAGTAATTATTCAATAGGTCTGCCATTACATTATTTTCAGCAATAATTTAATTGTTATCAGCTTTCAAGGGGCTCAAAGTGGTCCTGACTCCCTCTTTTTCTAATAGCATTAGTAGCAAGAATTTGAATTATCCCTTGCTGATAAGATTGCCTTGTTCACTCCAACGCTGTAATTTAATTGTTTTAGATGATGCTGTTGTCAATTTTCACTGCTGTTTCAACCTTTTGATTTGACTTAGGAAGGTACATGGGGATGTGATGGCATGGTGTTATTATCGCTGGGTTCGAATCCTGCCAAGGCAGATTTTTAATTGAATTTGAATTTAATAAAAATCTGGAAATAAGAGTCCACTGATGACCATGAAATCATTGCCAATTGTCTGGAAAAACCCATCTCATTCACTTATGTCCTTTAGGGAAGGAAACTGCTATCCTTACCTGATAGAGGCATAGGCTGTTTTCTAAATGGGGAGAAAATTCAGACGTCTGAGGTGCAAAGGGACTTAGGAGTCCTAGTCCAGGATTCTGTTCAGGTAAACATGCAGGTTAATACAGTAGTTAGGAAGGCAAATGCAACTTTGACATTTAGTTTGAGAGGACTTGGCTATAAAAGCAGGGATGTACTTCTGAGGCCATATAAAGCTCTAGTCAGACCACATTTAGAGGATTGTGAGCAATTTTGGGCCCCATACCTCAGGAAGGATGTACTGGCCCTGGAGCAGGTTCAAAGGAGGGTCACGAGAATGATCCCAGGAATGAAAGTCTTAACATATGAGGACCATTTGAAGACTCTGGGTCTATACCCGATGGAATTTAAAAGGACGAGGGGGGATCTAATTGAAACTTACAGAATACTGAATGGCCTGGACAGAGTGAATGTTGGGAGGATGTTTCCATTGGTAGGAGAGACTAGGATCCAAGGGCAAAGCTTTAGAGTAAAGGGAAGACCCTTTAGAACACAGATGAGGAGAAATTTCTTCAGCTAGAGAGTGGTGAATCTATGGAATTCGTTGCCACAGAAGGCTGCAGAGGCCAGGTCATTGAGTATATTTAAGATGGAGATAGATAGATTCTTGATTGTCAAGGGGATCAAATGTTATGAGGAGAAAACAGGAGAATAAGATTGAGAAATTATCAGCCATCATTGAACGATGGAGCAGACTCAATGGGCTGAATGGCCTAATTTCTGCTCCTTTGTCTTAGTCTTATATGCCCAACATGTGACTCCAGGCCCACAATGGCCCACAGCAATGTGATTGACTCTTAATTGTTCTCAGGGCAATTAAGGATGGGCAATAAATGCTAGCCTAGCCAGTAATGTCCTCATCACATGAATGAATAAAAAAAAAGTTGATGTGTAGTGCTGAATCTCCTAATTATTCATGAATACAGATAACCTCATAAACATTATGTGTTTTCAAGAAGGAGGTATATATGACTCTTGTGGCTAAAGGGATCAAGGGATTTGGGAAGAGAGGGGTTAAGGTATTGAGCTCAATGATCCATCCCGATCATGTTGAATGGTGGAGCAGGCTCAAGGGGCCAAATGGTCTACTCCTGCTTCTATCTTCTATGTTTCTATGAGGGCTGATGTTGTTTGAAATTTCAGAGTTTCAGGAAGGCCATGATGTCGGAAGTGTGCTTTCAGGCTTTCTACAATCAGACTGAGGTCAACTGCTCAGTAGTCTGAATCGTCATTTGTGATGAGATATTCTGTTCCAGAAACAATAACATTGTCTACTACAAGCTTCATCCAGGGGAAGTTCTCTAGTTTGCTCAGCTTGATATTTGTTATAAGTGCTACACTGGCTGTTATGGTTGTTAATCTCATTGTTTATGTTTGACCATTTGAGCACTCTCTTGCCTTCCTCAAGATGGACTCAGTTCCTTGATGGCTTGTATGGATGTGCTTCAGATATCCTGCCTCATCTCTTGTTTCTTTGTGCGTTCTTACTTGGCCATTTTGGGTTATTACCTTATCTCTGTATATCCAATATTCTTTTACAGCAACAACATAACCTTGATGGTTTCAGAACATCTCTTCATCGCAACATCCTATAGCACTTGAAGAGTTGCATCTCCTTATGTAGTTTGTTTGATGTGAGCAAGACCCTTGTCTGTCAGGTTCAACGGGCTACATGTTGTGCGAAAACCTATTCACCAGCCCCTGAGTGAGGAGGATGAGGCTGTCAACTCAAAAGCCAACTGCCCCACAGCAGTAATATGCTCGGAGCAATCTTCACTGATTTACAGTGGGTCTTTCACTCCCATCTTCCACTCCAAAGTATACCTGGGCCTTTTCTGCAGTGGGATGTATTTTACCAGCAAAAGCAACAGATTGGTCCATACTTTTCTTTGCCCCAGTCTGAACAATTATTTAGTTTTCAAATTACTAGGGCAAAATCTCTAGAAGTTTAGACTTCACTCACCCACCGCACCATGCGGTAAGTAGATATTTTCTAATCTGCCTTTTTTTTGTGCCTTTATCAATGTTGTACAGTAAGGTTCATGTATTCTTAAACACCAATCAACTTGTTCAAAATATGACTTGTAAAAAGTTGTGTTCACACATCACCACTAAATACAATAGCTATCACTAGATTTTTAAAAAGTGCTGGGGAAACTAATGGAGCTAAAAATGGTTAAGTCCCCTGGACCTGAAGAGATGCATCCTAGGTTTTAAAAGAAATAGCTGGGGAGATAGTTGATGCTCTGTTATCTTGGAAAAGTGTCACAGGATTGGAAAAACGGCCACTGTAGCACCTTTGTTTATAAAGGGATGAAGACAAAAAGCAGGTAAATTTCGGCCAGTTAGCTTAATGTCTGTCATGGGGAAAACATGCATCCTTGTAAATCTTTTCTGAACCCTTTCAAGTTTCACAACATTCTTCCTATAGGAGGGAGACCAGAATTGCATACGGTATTCCAAAAGTGGCCTCACCAATGTCCTGTATAGCCACAACATGACCTTCCAACTCCTGTACTCAATGCACTGACCAAAAAAGGCAAGCAGACCAAACACTTTCTTCACTATCCTATCTATCTGCGACTGCACTTTCAAGGAACTATGAACCTGCACTCCACAATCTCTTTGTTCAGCAACACTCCATCATACCTTATCATTAAGTGTATAAGTCCTGCCCTGATTTGCCTTTCCAAAATGCAACACTTCAGATTTATCTAAATTAAACGTCATCTGCCACTCCTTGGTCCATTGGCCAATCTGATCAAGATCACTGTCCACTACACCTCCAATTTTGGTGTCATCTGCAAACTTACTAACCATACCTCCTATGTTCACATCAAAATCATTTAAATATTACTTAAATGGAAAAAGACTGCAGAAAACTATAGCACAGAGGGGTTTGGGAGTGCTTATGCATAAATTACAAAAAGCTAGCATCCAAATTAAGGGGATAATAGGGAAGGCAAATGGAATGTTGGCCTTTGTTTCAAAAAATGGAGTGTAAAAATAGGGAGGTCTTGCTAAAGCTATACAAGGCACTAGTCAGACCACAGCTGGAATACTGTGAGCTGTTTTGGAAACCTTAACTAAGAAAAGATACAGGCATTGAAGACAGTCCAGAAAAGGTTCATTAGGTTGATCTTGGATAGTGAGGGACTGTCTTACGAGGAGATGTTGAGTAGGTTGTGCCTGTACTCGTTAGAGTTTAGAAGAATGAGAAGTGACCTCATTGAAAGATACAAGATTTGGATGGCATTTGAAAAGGTGGATGTGGAAAGATTGTTTGCCGTTCTGGAAAAGTCTACGACCAGAAGGCATAATCGCAGAAGAAGGGGCTGCCATATTAAGACTGAGATGAGAAAGAATTTCTTCTCTCAGAGGGTAGTGAAACTGTGGAAATCTTTAATACAGAGGGTGGACTGTTAAGTATATTCAAAGCTGAGCTAGACAGATTTTTAATCAGTAAGAGAATCAAGGGTTATGGGAAAAGGCAGGAAAGTGGTGTTAGAGATTATCAGATCAGCCATGTTCTCATTGAATGGTGAAGTAGACAAGATGGGCTGTATGGCCAACTTCTGCTCCTTCATTTTTTGGTCTTGTGACCTTAATATAGGGGACTGTTAAAGGCACTTTAATGAGATATGACAGAAATTACAACTGTCAGCCCAATGTTTTTTCACCTGCCACTAAACCAGGTCCTTGAATATTCATACATCTGTGAGTCAGGTCCTGTCCTGACTTTCACTTACCCATAGTGAACGCAGGATATCAAGCACACAGCTTGATTTCTCATCCAGCCACTCCTTCTCTGCAGAGGGAAGGCAGAAATTTTAGAACACCTCTGCTAAATTCAGTTCGTGGATTGAGACCAGGACCTTCCTGTACCTCTGTCCTTTAGCACAGCAGCAAACATTTACTGTCTTCAACAACTGCAATTTTATAATCAAGTGTGCAGAGTGCGTTTATGAAAGAAAGTTACGGGAATGCTCCTGAATTCCTATTATGTAATCCCGGCAGGCAAAGCAAGGCACTGGGAACACTGAAGATGGAAATTTCCTCTAGTGATTATGTTTTTCTCAGAGTTATGTATCTTTCTGTGCGTTGCTTTACAAAGCAACTTGCTATTTCTTTGAAAGCTAATATGCAGAAAAAAATTGCACTCTGTAAATACACCAAATACCGAACACCTTGAAGTTGTATAATGAATTTGTTTTCTAATAGGTTAAAGCTGTTGTTCTGGATCCAAGATATGAGTTCAATGTCGAAAAAACCCTCACAAAGACTGATGTTCGCAAGCTCATCACGGTAACCACTTAACTAAGCTAATGTTGCCTGTGTGAAAATTCATCAGGGGGATCAGTATTTTGCCCACTTTGATTTTCTTCCTTTTCTTGTCCTTCACATTAAAATGGTAATTTACGCGGAATTACAATCCCATTTCCTTCATACGTTATTTAGGTGAAAATTTTGCATGTGAGCTTAAGTAGTGATTGGAGATGAACTATTCACCTAAGAAGCTTTCACAGTTGACCCCTTTGCCTTGTCGACCTGCATTCCATTACAAGAGGTGACACGTTCTGATTATGAGGATGAAGTGAAGTGATTACAGTACGTCACTGAGCAGACCACTGTGGCGGTGATTACGAGTACCATGTAACCATCACTTTGCTACATTACCAGGAAACGTTAATTTACCCTGGTTCAAATAAAGGCAGCAGAGGGCACTGTAAGTGGGATCATAGCAAGGTCAATTTTAGCATGTCAACCATGTCCCTCCACTATACCTTCACTGAGTTCAACCAACTGAATGCATACGAGGGATATAACCGGTCAGGTGTATACTTAGCAGTACAGCACAACAGAGTGATTTTATTGACCAAGGTAGCAAGTGAGTTCAAAAAATTTTAAAGGCAGCAATCTTTTAAAATATGTTAAAAAGAGAGATTGTGTTTGCAAAATTTAAGAGCTGTAACCTTTTGTAGAAGGATATAAAGCCCTAGACCCAACCATCTTCAGCTGCTTCAAAAATGACCTTCATAAAGTCCAAAGTGAGGATATTTGCTGATGATTGCACAATGTTCAGCACCATTCACGAATCCTCAGACAGCAAGCAGTCTATGACCAAATGCAGCAAGACCTGGGCAATATCCATGTTTGGGCTGAAAAGTGGCAAGTAACATTTGAGCCACACAAATGCCAAGCAATGACCACCTTCCCTTGACATTCAATGGTGTTACCATTATTGAATCCCTGTCAACATCTGGGGTATACACTGACCAGAAACTGAACTGCACTAACCATGTAAGTACAGCGATCACAAAATCAGGTCAGAGGCTAGGAATCCCACACTCCCTTCCTGTCTCCCCAATACCTGTACATCATCTCTAAGGCACATGTCAAATGTGATGAAATATTCCCCACTTGCTTGGATTAGTTCAGCTCCAAAAACGCTCAAGAAGCTTGACACCATCCAGTACAAAGTAGTCTGCTCGATTAGTACTATATCCACAAACTTCCACTCCCGCCATTACCATACTGAGTAGCTACTGTGTACCATCAACAAGATGCACTGCCAGTTCACCAAAGATCCTTAGATAACACCTTCCAAACACATGACCATGTCAGTCTAGAGGACAAGGGCAGCGGATACATGGGAACACCACCACCTGCAAGTTGCTCTCCAAGCCACACACCATCCTGATTTGAAAATATGTCATTGTTCCTTCAGTGTTTTTTTGCTCAAAATCCTGGAATTCCCTCCCTAAATGGCGTTGTGGGTCTGCCTGCAACACATGGACTGTAACAGTTCAAGAAACATAGAAGGTAAGTGCGGGGGAGGCCATTCGGCCCATTCTTCACGATCATGACTGATCATCCAACTCAATAGCCTAATCCTGCTTTCTCCCTTTGACCCCATTCACCTCAAGTGCTATATCTAGCCGCCTCTTGAATACATTCAATGTTTTGGCATCAACTACTTCCTGTGGTAATGAATTCCATAGGCTCACCACTCTTTGGATGAAGAAATGTCTCCTCATCTCTGTCCTAAATGGTCCAACCCGAATCCTCAGGCTATGACCCTAGTTCCCCACCATCAGGAACATCCTCCCTGCATCTACCCTGTCTTGTCCTGTTAGAATTTTATACATCTCTAATGAGATCCCCCCTCATTCGTCTAAACTCCAGCGAAAACAATCCTAACCGAGTCAATCTCTTCCTCTTATATCAGACCCACCATCCCTGGAATCAGCCTGGTAAACCTTCGCTGCACTCCCTCGAGAACAAGAGCATCCTTCCTCAGAAAAGGAGACCAAAACTGCACTCAATATTCCAGGTGTGGCCTCACCAAGGCCCTGTATAATTGCAACAACACATTCCTGCTCCTGTACTCGAAACCTCTCGCAATGAAGGCCAACATACCATTTACCTTCTTTACCACCTGCTGCACCTGCATGCTTACCTTCAGCGACTGGTGCACAAGGACACCCAGGTCCCACTGCACACTCCCCTCTCCCAATTTACAGCCATTCAGGTAGTAATCTGCCTTCTTGTTTTTGCTTCCAAAGTGAATAACCTCACATTTATCCAAATTATACTGCATCTGCCATTGACTTGCCCACTCACCCAACCTGTCCAGATCATGCTGAAGGATCTCTGCATCCTTGTCAGGGCAATAAATGCTGACCCAGCCAGTGCTTCCTACATCCCATGACTGAAGTAAAAAAAAGTATAGAAATCCAATGAGTTACAAGTTAATTAAGACACCAGGGATCATAAATGCATGACCACCACACCATGTTTTGGTCACTGATGGGAATGAATGGTTAAACGCCTGATGCTGTCTAACTCCTCAGAGGCTAAATTTAACTTAACCTGTCTAGCAGGTATAGGGAGGACAAATTGAGTTCAATACATGGAAGAGTAAAATCAGGCAGGGTACAGATGAAAACAAAAAACAGAAGTTGCTGGAAAAGGTCAGCAGGTCTGGCAGCATCTGTGAATCAAAAATCAGAGTTAACGTTTCGGCTCCATCTCTGAGGAAGGGCCACCGGACCCGAAACGTTAACTCTGTTTTTTTCTCCATAGGTGCTGCCAGACCTGCTGAGCTTTTCCAGCAATTTCTGCTTTTCTCCCCCCCTGATTTACAGCATCTGTAGTTCTTTCAGTTTTTATGCGGTACAGATTAAGCTGTTTTCTCTCTCCTTTGAGTTTTCTCTGCCGCAGCTTTTTAAACTGATTGTGTCTGGGTTATTCCCTGGCTGTCGATTTAGCCCATCCAAATGTGAAGCATTTTTCAACCAGTCTTTTCTAATCCTCCCAATCCCGACTGCTCTAAGTTACCTCTGACAGGCAGAGTTCAGGAGGTGACACATTCTGATTATGAGGATGAAGTGAAATGATTACGGTATGTCACTGAGCAGCCCACTGTGGGTGTGATTACGAGTACCATGTAACCATCACTTTGCTACATTACCAGGAAACATTAATTTACCCTGGTTCAAAAACAGGGGAAAAGGCAGGGGAGTGTAATTAGCTATACTGCTCGTGCAAAGAGACAGCATGAACAGGATAGGCCAAATGGCCTTCCTGCCTCTATACTGTACAAACCACTGAGTTAATATTTGGTAATTATTGGTTATTTTATCTGGGCTGCTTGACACTGACCTTTTCAAGTATCCTGCCAAATCAGCTAAATAGTCCCTATTGCATTCATTTTCCCAGGCTATGTCTTCCCTTTCACTTTCCTGATTCAGGAGCATTTAGCCCTGAGGAGTTTCCTTCCCTTTACTGGTGTTCTATTTCCCAACAATATTCTTATTAGCTGACTAGAGAAGTGAGTCACGCTGCGGCAGAGGCAGAAACCGATATTACCAGATTACCCTCTTTCTGCTTGCAGCAGAAAAGCAGAAACAAACTACAATTTTCACTTGTTGTAAACCATTGAGGATCCCACAGGGGTTGCCAGATTGCATACATTGAAACATATAGGATTCAAAAGGGACTTGACAGGGTAAATGCTGAGAGGATGTTTTCCCACATGGTACAGTCCAAGACCAGAAGTTGCAGAATAAAGGGGTGCCAATTTAAGACTGAGATGAGGAGGAATTTCTTCTCTCAGATGGTTGTGAGTCTTTGGAACTCCTTGCCACAGACAGCTGTGGGGCCAGAGTCCTTGTGTATATTTAAGGCTGAGATAGGCGATAGATTCTTGATTTATAGGGGAATCAAGGGTTATGAGGAAAAATGCAGGAAATTGAATGTGAGAAATGTCAAATCATCTACGATCCTATTGAATGGTGGAGCGAGCTCAGGGGTATACTCCTATTCCTACTTCTTATGATTTTATGATGCTTGCAATAACTAAGTGGGAAAGAAAGTTAGATAGGGTCAATGCACTATTGGTTCTTAAATTTTGTTTACTCACTTGACCATTTAACATGTTAAAGGTGCTAGAAAAATGCAAGTCATTGTTTTTGGTGTGCACATGGAATGATGGATTCATAATGATACCAAAGGACAACATTTGGCCCATCAAATCCATATAAGTTATGTACCACCTAATCTTAAAACCTGAACTCACAAGCCCGGATACATTACCTGATTGTTTTCTGTCACACAGCGAGGAACAAGTTAACTAACCTTGTGTCCAAAGGGCCACTTTTCTACTGCATGTTCCTGGCATCTTGCTGTGTTTATATTGAACATAAATCAGCACTTAAGGGGTCCAACTGTGGATTTTCTAGCCTAAATGGATAGTTCAGGATAATTTTTATTTCAATTTTGCTTTGTAACAAGACCATCAATGCTTATTTTCTAGACTTGCGTGGACAGATTGCTTGAAACACAACGGTCATCTCTTGACACAATCAAGATGCAAGTTTATTTCGATATGAATTATACAAGTAGAGGTCAGTTTCCCTTGTCACCTTTTTCAGGCAAACTGCTTTAAATAGTTCGGTAGATTGAAATTGCTAAGCTTGAAGTCAATTTTCCCTTGGGCTGTAGTGCTTTTCTTTATATCTCATGCATTTGGGCTCTCTCAGCATTCTGATCTCTCCATTTCATATTTGCAAGGGTCAAACATTTTGAAAAGTAACGTACTCCCCATTCTTTTTAGCTGTTTCAGAATGTACCAATCAAATTTCAGACCAATTACTTAGAGACCTGCTCACCCTTATCTCTAAGCAGTGCTTAGCAGGTCAAGTGGCATCCATAAAAACATCAGCAGTGAACATGTCAAGTGTTTGTCCCTTCCCTCAAGAGAACTATGAAGTGACCTTGTCCCTGTAACCTGTCGTTGGATATGGACACCACATTCTGATATCCCCTTAAACATATCTTTTTGCAGAGACACAAATAAAATGTCTATCCAATAACATTTTCTACTTGAACTGCTTTGTCTGCCACTCTGACAATATATTAATAATAATCTAATCCTCCATCTGGTAGAATGGGTGAGCTTTGAGAGGCATTTGCTGCATTGAGGTTCCAAGTATAGTATGAAGAAGATAGAGATAACAAGGTGTAGAGCTGGATGAACACAGCAGGCCGAGCAGGAAAGCTGACGTTTCGAGTTTGGACCCTTCTTCAGAAATGGGGGAGGGTAAGGGGATTCTGAAATAAATAGGGAGAGAGGGGGAGGCGGATGGAGGATAGATAAAGGAGCAGATAGGTGGAGAAGAGACAGACAGGTCAAGGAGGCGGGGATGGAGCCAGTAAAGGTAAGTGTAGGTGGGGAGTTAGGATGGTGGTTGGTCAGTCAAGGGAAGACAGACAGGTCAAGGAGGCGGGGATGAGGCTGGTAGGTAGGAGGTGGAGGTGGGGGTTGAGGTGGGAGGAGCAGATGGGTGGGAGAAATGACGGACAGGTTAGGGAGGCGGATACGAGCTGTGCTGGTTTTGGGATGCGGTAGGGGGAGGGGAGATTTTGAAGCTTGTGAAGTCCACATTGATACCATTGGGCTGCAGGGTTCCCAAGGGAAATATGAGGTGCTGTTCCTGCAACCTTCGGGTGGCATTGTTGTGGCACTGGAGGAGGCCCAGGATGAACATGTCATCCAAGGAGTGGGAGGTATGAAGAAGGTTTTGTCAGACTTTGAAACAGTAGATGTTTAGAGCACAGAAGTAGCTCATTCATCCCTTTAATTTTTGAGCTGCGTTTTCGCACAAGGAATCCAAAATAAATCCTAATGCTGTCTTCACTCCCCCGAATCGTGCTTCTACCTTTGCCTCAAATTTTTGTACATCCTTCCCTTTAAAATTTAGCACTCCTTCTTAACCATTCTCTGGAACAGTGTCTTCGAAAGTCTTACAATCCTGTCTGGAAAGAATATTCTCTTAATCTCTTCTCACTGTCTCATTGACAACTGCTCATTCAATGCACCCCAGACAAAGAGAATCGACATTCTCTATTCACACAATCAAATCCTCCAGAATATTATAAACCTCAAAGGCTGGTGTGAGGTTCAGCATGTCTAAAGATAGGTGAGAGGAGTAAAAAGAAAAGTCCGGGTGTTAAAAAAAAGATAAAGATGTTTTGAGTACTCTATAAATTTACAGGAAGTAATAACAAAACACGCATTTTGAAATGAAGCAGGAGAGATTTTTAAAAAAAGCTTTACATTTAATTTGCCTGTGCCTGTCTTTGAAGTGTGATATGTCAGAAAGTGTGGGAAATACTCCATCAGTGTGTATAAGCAAGTTTGGGGACAGTCTCTGAGGTAAGAATTACATACAAGAATGCATGTCCCAACAGAAATAACACAAATCAGTTGTAAGTACCCATTTTAATTAAAGTATACAGTACAGCAGCAATTACAGGACCTGGCTACAAGCTTGTGAAGTTATTCCAGGTCATAGAGTCTTTATTTTTAGAATTTTAGAACACAACTTTTACTTCATACTTTTCAAATCAACTTCATGCCAATTCCCAATTTTTCCAAGCCAGGCAGCATCTGAAGGAAAGGAGGAGTCGACATTTCGGGTATTACCCTTCTTCAGCTGACTGCTCCTTTCCTCCAGATGCTGCCTGGCCTGTTGTGTTCTTGCAGCCTCCTGTTTGTCTACCTTGGATTCTAGTATCTGCAATTTTTTTGTCTCCATCCAATCTTTCCAAACCCATTAAGTTGTAACCAATGAACCATGTAATAAAAGTGGCAAGTGTAGAACTGCTGAGAGCAAAAAAAGAAACACCCATTCACATGTCTTCCTTTCGAAAATGGAACTTGCTGTGCCCACACCCTGATAGAAGTGCCAATTGGACAGGCCACTGAAGCATCAATAACAGAGACTTCAGCGCTTCATACGTCTTGAAGATATCAAGCAAGTAAAGTCAACAATTTAGTTTAGTTTTCAAAACAGATACCCGTGATAAGCTAATTCTTTTGTTGACCTGGGCGCACCCCAAGCCTCATTTTGAGAGGATAGGGAGTCATTGAAGGCATTTAGAGAGACATCAGTCAGCACCGAGTTGGCATAGAAAGTATAATGGGCCATGGGTGTGTTTGGTGGAAGGAGCAGGGAGTGGGGAGGGGGAATGTGTGCATGATATGGCATATATTGGAGAATGGACAGGTGGTGGGTTGGGGTGGAGTTGGAGTTGGGGGTTTGGGGGTAGGGACTGTCCAGTGAGGTGTGGGAGGGCCTAAAGCCTTCTAAACAACTAGGGCAAAGTTCCAGAGAAGAAAGGTGGACCTTCTAACCAACCCACATTGGCATTCACCCACGAACCTGTAGCCAGGTCCTGCACTGTGTACTTTAAGCAAAATGGGTACTTACAACTGATTTGTATTATTTCTGATGGAACATGCGTTCTTGTATATAATTCTTACTTCAGAGACTGTACCCAAACTTGCTTATACACACCGATGGAGTATTTCCCACACTTTCTGACATATCACAATTAAAAGTGAGGGTGTTGCTCTAGGAGTCCTTAACATTGACTCTGGACCCCATGAAGTCTCACGGCTTCAAGTTAAACATGGACAAGGAAACCTCCTGCTGATTACCACATACCGTCCTCCCTCACCTGATGAATCAGAACTCCTCAATGTTGAACAACACTTAGAGGAAGCACTGAGGATGGCAAGGGCACAACATGTACTCTGGGTGGGGGATTTCAATGTCCACCACCAAGAGTGGCTCGATAGCAGCACTACTGATCGAGCTGGTCAGTTCCTAAAGGACATAGCTGCTAGAGTGGGTCTATGGCAGGTGGTGAGGGAACCAACAAGAGGGAAAACCATACTTGATCTCATCCTTATCAATCTGCCAGCTGCAGTTGCATCTGTCCATGACAGTAACGCTAAGCGTGACCATTGCACAGTCCTTATGGAGACAAAGTCCCACCTTCAGATTGAGAACAACCTCCATCGTGTTGTGTGGCACTATCATTATGTCAATGGGACAGACTTCCCACAGATCTAGCAACTCAAGACTGGGCATCCATGAGACGCTGTGGGCCATCAACAGCAGCAGAATTGTACTCCAGCACAATCTGTAACCTCATGGCCCAGCCTATCCCCCACTCAACCCATTACCATCAAGCCAGGGGATCAACCCTGGTTCAATGGAGAGTGTAGGAGGGCATGCCAGGAGCAGCACCAGGCATACCTGAAGATGAGGTATCAACCTGGTGAAGCCACCAAGCAGGACTACTTACACACCAAACAGCGAAGGAAGCAAATGATTGACAGAGCTAAGTGATTGCACAACCAATGGATCAGACCTAAAATCTGCAATCCTGCCACATTCAGTTGTCAATGGTGGTGGACAATTAAACAACTCACTGGAGGAGGAGGCTCCACAAATATCCCCATCCTCAATGATGGAAGAGCCCAGCACATCAGTGCAAAAGATAAGGCTGAAGTATTCGCAGCAAGCTTCAGCCAGAAATGCCGAGTGGTTGATCCACCTCGGCCTCCTCCAGTGGTCCTCAGCATTACAGATACCAGTCTTCAGCCAATTCGATTCACTCCACGTGATATCAAGAAACAGTTGGAGACACTGGATACTGCAAAAGCTATGGGCCCTGACAACATTCCAGCAATAGTACTGAAGACTTATGCTCCTGAACTTGCTGCTCCCTTAGCCAAACTGCTCCAGTACAGTTACAACACTAGTATCTACCCGACAATGTGGAAAATTGCCCAAGTATGTCCTGTGCACAAAAAACAGGACAAACCCAACCTGGCCAATTACCGCCCCATCAGTCTCCTCTCAATCATCAGTAAAGTGATGGAAGGTGTCATCAACAGTGCTATTGAGCAGCAGCTGCTCAGCAATAACCTGCTCAGTGACGCCCAGTTTGGGTTCTGCCAGGACCACTCAGCTCCTGACCTCATTACAGCCTTGGTTCAAACATGGACAAAAGAGCTGAGTTCCAGAGGTGAGGTGAGAGTGACAGCCCTTGACATCAAGGCTGCATTCGACTGAGTGTGGCATCAAGGAGCCCAAGCAAACTGGAATCAATGGGTATCAGGGGGCAAAATCTCTGATAGTTGGAGTCATACCTGACACATGGAACATGGTCATGGTTATTGGCGGTCAATCATCTCAGCTCCAGGACATCTCTGCAGGTGTTCCTCAGGGTAGTGTCCCAGATTCAACCATCTTCAGCTGCTTCATCAATGGCCTTCCCTCCACCATAAGGTCGAAGGTGAGGATGTTCGCCGATGATTGCACAATGTTCAGCACCGTTCATGACGCTTCAGGTACTGAAGCAGTCCATGTTCACATGCAGCAAGATCTGGATAATATCCAGGCTTGGGCTGACAAGTGGCAAGTAACATTGGTGCCACACAAATGCCAGGCTATGACCATCACCAATAGGAGACAATCTAACCACTGTCCCTTGACATTCAATGGTGTTACCATTACTGAATCCCCCATTATCAACATCGTGGGGATTACCATTGACCAGAAACTCAAATGGACTCACCACATTAACAGAGTAGATACAAAAGCAGGCCAGAAGCTGGGAATACTGCGGCGAGTAACTCACCTCCTGACTCCTCAAAGCCTGTCCACCATCTACAAGGCACAAGTTAGGAGCATGATGGAATACTCCTCACTAACCTGGATGAATGCAGCCCCAACAACACTGAAGAAGCTTGACACCATACAGGGCAAAGCAGCCCACTTGATTGGCACTACATCCACAAGCATCCACTCCCTCCACCACTGATGCTCAGTAGCAGCAGTGTGTACTATCTGCAAGATGCACAGCAGAAATTCACCAAAGATCCTCAGACAGCACCTTGCAAACCCACGACCACTTTCATCTAGAAGGACAAGGGCATCAGATATATGGGAACACCACCACCTCCAAGTTCCCCTCCAAGCCACTCACCATTCTGACTTGGAAATATATTGCCGTTCCTTCACTGTCGCTGGGTCAGAATCCTGGAATTCCTTCCCTAATAGCACTGTGGGTCTGCAGCAGTTCAAGAAGGCAGCTCACCACCACCTTCTCAAGGGCAACTAGGAATGGGCAAGAAATGCTGGCCAGCCAGCGATAACCACATCCCATAAATGAATAGGGAAAAAAAACTCACTGACTGCTTTTCCTTTGGGATCAGCAGACATGAGTCCACCTGCAGTCAAGCAAAAGAGGGTGGTAATGAGACAAAAGAGAAACAGAAGATGGGTCAGAAGGAGGTTTAACTGGAATAGCAGAATGATCAACAGTAGATGCTCTCTGATCAAATGGGGGCAGAAGTTATGATCTAAAATTGTTGAATTATAGAAAGCTATAAAGTACTCAATCAAAATTTAAGATACTGCTCTGAGCAAGCAATGAGTTTGATGGGAACAGCGTGGGATGCTGAGAAGAGAGAGGGCAGGGTGAGGGTGTAGTGGAATATTAAAGTGACAACCATCTGAAATATAAGACCTGTGGACTTAACATAGGTGTTCTGCAAGTCAGGCACCAAGTATGGATTTGGTGTCCCCAGGGTAAAGGGACCGTATCATAAGCATCAAATACAGAATATTACGTTAAAACAAGTACAAACCAGTAGCTGTGTCACCCAGAAGTGGTGTTTGGGCCCTAGACCGTGAGAAGGGAATGGATAAAAATGTAGATGTTGTATCTCCTGCAATTGCACAGGAAGGTGCTGGGGGTGATTGAGGAGTCAACTGAAGTATCATGGAGAAAGTTGTACCTTTAACATAATGAGAGGAAAAGGGAAGGAAAGATGGTTGGTATCAGCACCACACTGGAAGTGGTAGAACTAGCAGAGGAAGATCTGTTAAATGTGGAGGTCAGTGGAATGGAAGGTGAGGACAAAGGGAACCTTATCCTAGTTCTGGAAGGGAAGGGAAAGGGTGAGACCAGAAATGTGTGAAATAACACACAGTTCAGGACCCTGTCAACAACAGTGGAAGGGAATCCTTGGCTGACTGCAAAAAAACAATTTATCCTGGTCACTCAAACTTCTTGGGTTAATGTTCATACTTTCCGTACAATAATAAATGGGACCATGAAAAATGATGCAGAAAAATTGCAAATATCTTTGTATATATTGTTACCACGTTTTGCGGAATTCCAAATTAACACTGAGCTGTTTACATTTCCTCACTACAGCGGAATTTCTGGCTGAGCATCGCACTGTCTTGGAATCTAGGTTGGCCCCAGTATGCAGAGAAATCACAGATAGTCGCGCGAGGACACGGGATGAATTGGAATGTCTTTACCGTAAAATTGTAAGCTACATGCTGCTTCATTCAGGCCTTGGATCTCCCACTGAAATAGGTGTAGTGAGAGAGGCAACTGGTAGGTGATTTAATTTCTCTTCACGTTTTACTATGTAGCATAAACTTGAATGTAATCAAATATTCTTAACACCCTCCATGGAAGTGAAAACTGACATGGAACCATGTATTCTAAGAGGTGACTGGAAGCATGCCCAAAGTAGTCCATTTTGAAAGGAGTGAGATAGGTAGGCAGGCAGAAAAGCTTAGGGCAGTGCTTCTTGAATTGGGGCCCAGGACACCAAATAGGGTCACAATCTAAAATTTGGAGGTTCTGAGGCAGCAATGACAGCCATGGAGTTCTGAGCAAGTAATCACAGCTGTTTCTCCTGCTCTGACAGTTCTCAGACAGAGCTTACAACAACTTTCAGGCCTTGAGATAGGAGTCACAGAGGGAAAGGATTCAGGAGCACTGATTTACGGAAAGCATTTCAAAGTTTGGATTAAGATAGATAAAGGCATAGGAAGCAAAGGCAAAGGACAGAGGATGAAGGGGAAGCTATGGTCAAAAATGGATTCTATGTATTAATATAGAAGGCTGGAGGAGATTGCAGTGGAGGGGGGTTCTTTTACAGCATTTTGATTGAAGCTAAGGATTTTGTTATCAAAGCACTGATGGGTAGGGAGTTAATGCTGGAGATGATAAAACTTAGCGTAGGTTCGGAAGAACTTCAAATTAATTGTTCATACATTTGTAGAGTATGGGGGACTGATAAGGAAAATATTAGATTACTCAAACTTGGAGGTGATGAAATAACAATGGAAGGATTTCAGCATCAGTGTGGGTGTGGTAGAATTTGAGATCAGTCAAATATTGGAAATGAGCAGGTTTGCATGGTAAGCACCTCGGATCCTGGCTGAGATTAGCTTTGAAGTTTAACTTGGATTCATATAGGACACTAAGGTTGTGTCCAGCTCAAGCAAACATTTGAGGATCGGGATGAGATAAACCATGGAGACTGAACTGGAGCAAGTTCTTACCCACATGTGACTTTGATGCCTGATCAAATGCCCAATGACTCATCTCAGTGTAGATTCTGAAGTCAGGGCTGGTTGGAAAATTAATGCTGGACGTCATCACCATATCTGTAAAGCATGTGGATGGTGGGCTCAAGGAGCAACATGTGGATGACAAAAAATGTCCCAAGTATGGAGTCTTAGAGTGTTCACAGGTCCACCTGGAGCAAGCAGGAGGGATGATGCTTAACTGAAATAAGCCACTCACGGAGAATGCTGGACTATTAGTGAGAACTACAAAGCAGCAATCTTAATCAGATATTGTTTGTAGGTTGTGATTTGACAAGCTAGGGCAGACATTTTATAGGTGGCACACTTTTCAAAGCGTTGATGGGGAACACCAATCTCCACCAATGCCTGCTGTCCCAGAGTGATTAAAACTGCTTGTGCTCCGACAATGTTAATGGGCTGAAGGTCCAAACTCGACCGGGTGGCTGGCAGTTCCATCGCCCCAGAACTGATGAGGAGTGGAACAGCAAGCAGACCCCAGATTGCAGCTTTTGCTGCGCTATCTCTCTGTCAATAATATCCTTCCTGAAGTATTTTTACCTATGACATGATGTCTTGTTGACTTTTCTTTGCTTAGCTGCTCTGCAAAGTGTTTTTCCACAAGTGGAACTGGGTACCTTTCTTGCCCTCACAAAAAAGGACAAGGAGCGACAGTTGAATGAACTAAGCATGATTGTCACTGGCATTCGGCTGTTCAATAAGAACTGTAAGAAGGGTGGTGAAGGCATTGATGACTGTAAGTATTGCAAAAAAGATTTCAAACCACCTTGTGGCTGTTTAGTTAGGCTTTTAAATTTGACTGTTAAAATTCTAAAGTAAAAATTCTCTAAATTAAACATTTTGAACATTAATAGATAAACCCTGTATTTAATTTCAATGTAAAATTCCATTTGTTTGATTTTGAGCTGTCCAAGTATATGCAGTTAACCATTTGTAAGGAATTTTTAGATTCTTAAGTTTGTTAAGGAGCAGAGTTTGGATACGATACATTAGTTAATTGGGCAAAGAAAACATACAACCTATGACATTTGAGGATGGCCCATTGATAATAGGGGAGGAACATGAAATTGGCACAGAATGTATCAATTGTTGTGAAGGCAGTGTTTTACTCTACAGCCAAAGTGCTGGGGAACACCCTCAATCTCTTTTGGTTCACTTTCTTTCTGAAGAAGACTGTTGTCTGACAAGGACTACCCTCAGACTCTGAGCACTTGTTGCTGTACCCTGTTTCAAGGGGCTGTATCAATCACATGTTCCACATGATATCAGATGACTGTTGCCCCCTTGCCCACATCCATCTGTCTGTTAGTTGCCATTCCTTCTAAGAACAAAACTTCCTATTTTGCCAAAACACTGCATCGATAGTAGGATATGTACGGAGCTGCCAAGTTTCCTTGATGTCACCTTAATTGAACATTGTGCCCTTGGGGATCCTGATGGTGAAAACTAATTCCTGCTGTAAAAGCACTTAAAAAATCTCAGCAACGTGGCTGACTCTAAACTGCCCTCTAAGCAATTAGGGAAGAGCAATAAACACTAGTCTGGCCAGCAATGCACATATTTTGTGAATGAATTTGTAAAAAAAAATCAAAGTTTATTACACACAAGTAAATAAAATCAAAATTATATGAGATGTTTTGGAAAGATCTTATTGTAACAAGCAAAAGATCCAACCCCTTTTGCCCAGCCATGTCGTTTATGGACACTCAACCCCCATGAAGTATCACAGCTACTCTCTACTCTAAAATTTCTGACTCAGCTGACAAAGTCGCAAACAGTGTCCTTTCAATGAATTTCTGCACATTCACCAGCTCTGGTTTTCTTTATAAACATTTTCTTCCCAAGCCACATACAGACTTTTCCTCACTAACGCTAAGAAAATCTCAGGGCTTTTCCCATGACTTTGAGTACCATTAGGCTGCTAAACAACTTACCTGGTGATGTGGATCTTTCCTTCTGAACTGGACTCATTTCTGCTTCTGTGCCCTCTATCTGTCTCCCACTGGGTTATAGATCTCAGGTTAATAAACTCTTCAACCATTATCTCATCAGGTAGCTGGTCTGGTCATTTAGCTTAAGTCACGTGATATTTTGGAAATTGCTGTTTAACGCACTATTTAGAAAATAGTTCCTGACCCGCGTTAAAAAATTCACCCTCATAGAACTAAAACCGAAAACCCATAAACCTCTACTTTAGAACCAAGTTCCTAAATAATAGTTTGTTATGAACTGTCATTCCCCCATGGCTGCAACTTACTTCCAAATTGTTACTCTCATGCCAACTTTCACTATAATTATCTGAAGTTACTTCCGTGTAATTGAAATACATTTGCAAACACAGTGCCCGCCATTCTAAATGAAGCTGTGCCAGCAACCAAACAAAATGTTGAGTCTGAGCTACAAGCCACGCAGCAGCTTATCTACCATTATACAGCTATTATCGAGAGGCTGGAGAAAAGCAGAGCACAATGGTATGAAGAAGATGGGTTCCATGATAAACTGAAGGAAGCTTTATACAACGTGAGGCAGCATGAGGTCTTTCTACACATTATTGTGGTAGGATGTTATTTTAAGTGTTATTATGCATTTATTATGATTGTAATGGAAGAAACATACTTTTCATTTCTTTCAATTTTAAATGGAAATTGGACTAAAGTTTTTTTCTCTATTTTTGGCATTATCACGTCCCTGCCACCTCTTTTGCTTTTATCTCTGCATCCCTTTTCCTGTGTAAAGTGATCTTTTGGAAATGTGCCGTTTGGAAAGAAATGTTGTGTTCGAAATTTTGGTCTGGGCCACTGGCAAGAAGAACTCATAGAAACGGCTGGAATTTAGGGCAGAATTAAATTCGCTTACTTTGTTTGACTTCTTGGTTGACAATTTCCAGTGGGAACAGAAGGAGCAGTTAATTTTCCCACCTCCCCAATTCAAGGGACTGTGTTTTTGTAGGTGTGTCCCTGGGCCACCCAAGGAATTGCATTCATTCCACCTGTATAAGCTTCAGCAGCATTCTCAAAGTCTTTTGAAAGGCACCATACCTTCACAGTCTCCCTTTGGAGCTGAAACCCTCTCTGCAGGATCTTTTCTTGAACCTGGAAAAAGCCTGGAGAATTCCCAGGAGAATTGCAGCATTGGCAGAGTCTCTTTGCTAACCAGGAATTGATAATAAATTACCTTTGAAGAGGGCGGTGGATTCTCACTCTGGCACTATTGAGTTGGCCCAAAGGAAATGAAGTCCATAATCTCCAATTTAAGACCATAATAAGATTAATTGTAAAGCATATGTAATTGCTCTGTTATGCCATTCCCCACCTTTTCTAGCTTTCTCCTTTTCTCTAAGCAACAGAAATTGTAGATTATGTTTATTGACCCTTATTAAGGGTCTTTCTTTTCATGTCGAATCAAGGCAACGGGGGAATGTTGGTTATTTTCTCTCTCCTCTATTATAAACCTTTGATTCCTTTTACTTCTGTTTTCCTAATAAAGAACCTCACCCACCCTAGGGCAGAGACCTTCATATACTTTCCATCAAATGCCTAAGGCCCTTTTATAGATCATAGATCAGAGAATCATACAGTACAGAAGAGGCCTTTCGGCCTATTGAATCTGAACGTCCAAAAATGTACCACTATCTGCACTAGTCTCACTTCCCAGCACTTGGCCCATAGTCTTGAACGTTATGACACTTCAAGTGCTAATCCAAATATCTTTTAAAGATTATGAAGTTTCCCATCTCAACAAACTTCCCAGGCTGTGCATTCCAGACACACCCACCACCCCCCTATCCCAGGTGAAAAAAAGTTTTCCTTGTTTTCCTTAACTGCAATCTGAAACTTCTGCCTTTCAGTTTAAAATTATGCTCCCTTGTTCTTGACACTTCAATATTTTTATTCACCATATCCATACATTTTGTAACCTTCTGCACCTCAATCAGCTCCTCCCTCAACCTTCTCTGCTCCAAAGAAACCAGTCTGAGCTTATCCTACCTCTCTTCATAGGTGAAATGCTCCATCTCAGGTAACATCCTAGTAAATTTGCACCCTCTCTGGTACAAGCCGATAGTGTGGTGACCAGAACTCACATATTACTCCAGCTGTAGCCTAACCAGAATTCTATACAGCTCCAACATCACCTCCCTGCCCTTATAATCTATGCCACAGCTGATAAAAGCAAATGTCCTGTATGCCTTCTTAACTAGCCTATTAACCTCTCCTGCCACCTTCAGGGATCTATGAACTAGCACCCCAAGATCCCTACATTCCTCTGGGCTTCCCAGAGTTCTGCCATCTAATGAATATTCCCTTTTCTCCTTCCTCCTTCCCAGGTGCATCACCTCACATTTATCAGGGTTAAATTCCATCTGCCACTGCTGTGTCCATCTGACTAATCCATCTATATCCTCCTGTAACCTAGCACCTTCCTTCTTGCTGTCAAACACCCAGCCAATCTTTGTGTCATCCCCAAACTTACTTATCATCCCTCCAACATCCTGAACTACATCATTTATGGATATCACAAACTATAATGGACCCAGCATTGATCTGTATAGTATGGCACTGCGCAGATGGTTTCCAGTCACACAAACAGTCTTCCATTGCCACTCTCTGTCTCCTCACACTGTCCCAATTCTGGATCCATCTTGCCAAGTTGGCCTGGATCCCATGAGCTTTTAACTTCCTTAATAGACTCCCATCTGGAACCTTGTCAGAGGCCTTGCCCATAGAAGCTCTGAGGGACTCTCAAAAAGAACACCGTCTCAGGATATCATGGCAGGAAGAGTTTAGATTCTGGCCTTTCCCTACTGCCCCTCAGTAATGATGACCCCATTTAGTCCCTCAGCTTTTGGTGCTGGATCTTGGAATATGCCAGACTGCAGCACTTGTTCGAGAACAGCTTCTTGCACTGGAAGACAAGGTAGTTTTGGAAAGACCACCTTTCATTGAGTTGATGGTCCTTGAGGTGCAATTGATGTTTGTCTTAATGTGATTCCAAGGGAACAACCAGTTGAGCGCAAAGCCCTGGATCGTAGAACTGCTTGGAACGAACCTCAACAAAAAGCATTGCATCGCTCTCCATAAGAAAGCCTCAGATACTCGCCCCTGGTCCGTCCAGTTGGCAAGACATCCACAGCCTTCTGTTCGATTCCACGAATGTTATGACTTTGACAAAAACCTGGTTCACAGGTGACAACACTCAAACCAGACTGAAACAACTCTACCTGATCACACTTTCTATCCTTACCTGTGTCCAAACCATCATAGTGATAAGTGTGGCGCTTACCATCAACTTACATCATGGCTGTTACCCCGATGCATTTGGCATTTTTTCCATTCCATTTAATTTATTTCCATCCATCACAAAGCAGATATATTAGGCCAGTGTTTGAATATCATTTAGAAGGAGTCTTGAATATGGTCAGGGAAAGCTGGGAGATTTGATCAACTATTTATGTGTGTCCAACTTTATCTATATTAGCACAGTAAAAGTTTTGCTCATTTTTTAAAAACTGATGCTTTCTTTCATTCAAAACATTTTAATTCTTCCCTTTTCAGACTGCCTTTGCCTGCCCTTCATTACCAGCTGCCGTTCTAGATTTTGCACTCTCTTCAATGCCAAGCTGGCAATAGCGGCATGTTTTGCACTATCAGCTTTCTGAATTAATGTGGGGCAATGTCGGGTTATGAACATGGCATGAGCATCACACCAAGTCTTTCATCTGGATATTGTGCCCTGTTCACTGCCTGATTTTGCCCAAAACCCAAAATCTCCCCCTCCCCCTTCGTAGATCCCAGTATTTTGATGATATAGTGTATGTTTAGAAGTATTGCACAATGGGTTAGGCACTTCTGACTGCTTTTAATAACTTAATCTGGTTCTTGTTTCCTCCACAGACTGAAATCGTCACATGCGCTAAACAGGTAGAACTGCTGGAGCATCAATTAGAGAGACAAATGTTGGAGCTGAACGATGTAGTCAAGTCAAAGGCAGCTGTACCCACCGCACAAGTCTATGTGAGTGTTTTATGAAATTTGTTTCTCCCATTAAACTTCTAGAACTCAGGTACAAATGCATCTTTGGTTTGCATTTCCACTTAAAGCAAAAAGGAACAAAAGAATCATTTGAAAAAGAGAATGATAGCTTGTTATCACAAGTTCTTCACCCTTGACCGTGATGCAGAATGGTGACAGCGACAGGAGAATTTTCATAGAATTAGAATTAGATATTATTGCCACGTGTACTCAGGAGTACAGTGAGAAGTGTACAAAGTTGTTGTCCTCCAGCGCCAACTTAAAAAACAAAGCCAGAATTTCTAAAAATAAAGCAAGGGAAGAAATAAAAGAAACATAGCCAAAAGAAAAGGAAAACATTCAGACCTTAGTGTCTTATCTGATTGGGCCTAGCCCTAGCCTGGATTCTCAGTGAGCTTCCTCCTGAGACATGCTGCCACCAATCGTCAGGAGGAGCCGCACGGGTTTGCCACCGCCGCTCCACATGCGTAGGAGGTTGGGCTCACCTCACCGATGCCACTGCCGAAAGCTCACCCTTTCCTCATCATACACACCTCGAAAACGGCAAAGCTGGGCGGAAACAGGATTATTACCTTGCTCATGTTCTTAGAATTCCAGCATTCCCAAATGCGACAAATTGGGAGATACCAAGGTAAATGGCACTAAAACAGTAGAGTAGGGAGATTCTAAGTAATTTGCAGCAAAAGTTATCACATAAGCACGTTCTCCAGCGATGCTCACTTTGGCATCAGGGCCAAGACCCCTAATTGATTTCTTTTTGGTTCTATCCAGCCCAATGCATTCTACTTTACAAATCAACTTAAACTAGGTAATGCCTCCATTAAAGTAGCAGAAAGAGGATTCTCATAAAGTGGGTGAGGATTTTAACCATAATACTAACAGCAATGATTTATTATTGTCACATGTGCCAAGTGTTAAGAAGGGAAAGTCGAACCCCTTTGATAATTAAAACTGAAACACCCAGAGAAGCTCGCTTCACCTCACCTAATCTGTTAAACTGTTACGGAGAATGGGAGGTTAAGTGAAAGAAAGTCCCTGAGATTCACTTTATAAGTAACAAGTAACAATTTATTTATTCGCCCTTAACTACTAACTCTCCCCTGACTAAAATAAATTCTACTGGTATACTGTTCCAATAAACACAAGTCCCACTTATATAACCCAAGTAATAAGAAAATAAATTAAAACTTAGTCTCTCAAAGTCGACATGCCTTTCTTCTGCTGTTCTCAAGTCATGAACACCTTTCTTCCGCTGATCTGGCTGTCAGGGGTATTTTCTCTATAAAGTCTTCTGTGAGGACTCTTAGCTAGAAGTGCTATGGTACCTTTTATGGATAGATGCTTTTGAGGAGAGCTTAGCGATTCCTTCTAAGAGCTAGATGCTTATTTCTCAGATGGCAGTTCACTCTCACACCGATTTTCAAAAACCCTCTCCTTATATACCTTGGATGACAAATCAATTTTCTTACAATAGCATTGTCCAAGGTTGTTAAAACCATTAGATTTAAAGTTAATTGACTTTCAATCACTAAGTGTTTGGCTTAAATTAATTGGCTGATTCCAGCTAGTTGCCAAACCATCAAAACAAGCCTAAGGTTTCCAATCACACAGCCAAATGATACATGTTTCAATTTTAGAACTGATTGTACGTCTTCAGTTACATACAGACACTTTTTCTTTTCTGTATCTAAGTTTAGAAAAGCACTTTGCCTCTTAAAGAAATCATGCACTCTTTCACCCTATCGTTTTTACAAACAAATTCTAGCTTTTTGCCTTCCAATTCACGAGTACTCGACACAACTTTGTAACACAAGATACAGGAAAAAGTATTGTTTTGGGTGCTATCCAGGCAAATCATACCTTACATCAGCATAATTGGGAAGATAAGTGTTTCTATATTGTACACATTTAAAACATAATCTATAACATTGCAAAATCCTTCAACCCTATATTAAACCAAACGTAGATTTTGTTTTAATTATTTTACAGCCTCATTTTATTGCTCTCTCCAATCTGTGGACCGCTTTCCAGGATGAGCTGGTGCTGCTCAGTGTTTTCAGCAACTTAGTAACCAACTTGGATCCATATTTAGCAACTCACTCACAGCTGTTTCCAGATGGGGTCATTGGGCCCTTATTGGAAGGAGTGGTTGTGAAAACGGATGCGCAGAGGTTAAGTGAAGTTTCAGGTATGTCTGGCAGAGACAGAAATTTGAAACAAAATTGCACATTTGAAACACTGGTGAGATGGTTTGCTTTTCAGAAAGGCATAGTTGGAATTTGAGCACAGTGTAAATTTTTGGTTACAATTTAAACCCAAATCCCACAACCAATATTTTTGTTTGATACTTTAACCATTTAGACAACAGGAAACAGTAGGGTGAGGTAACTCAGAAAACTTCACTCATTATGAGGGAAAACATAAAAATATATGGAGCTAATACAGAAGATCACAAACTATTATTATAGAGATTAGAAAGTAGCTAGTAAAGATTATACAGAGTGTGTATAAGTTATAAATTCACAGTGAATAGTGTGTGAATGGGAGGTTGTGAGATATATCCTTACACATTCAGTCAATAGTGTTGAGGTGATTATATTGTCACAAAGTTAACTCTAATACAAAGCCAAATGTAATTCCTTCTCTTTTAAACACTGACCCCTAAAACAAAGTCAATGTAGAACACAGAAGCTATTTTCTCCCTCTCTCCTTGCAGTAAAGTCCCTCCATCTTTCAATCATTGATAACACTAATTTTTATTTTACTTAACATGATGAAGAGAGCTTGGTCAACAGTGAAGATTATAAGTTCTCGCAATCTGGCTCTGTTAGGTGAAAATAAATTGTAAATAGAGGCCTCTCAACATTATTTCATTAGTGTATTACATTCATTCTGTTCAAAATCCCATGGTGCATTTCTTTGTCAAGTGAGGCTAAGCAGAGTCACGTGATATTAAAATGTTACATTTACGGAGGCTACAATTAAGCAGAATAACATAATATTAAATTAATCAATGAATTTATGATTAGAAGTAAACTAAACTAATTGTGAAACATCAATCATCCTACTTGTCCTAAACAGGAGTCAGTGAATGTACCAAGACTTTCAATTCATGAATATGGCAGAGTGAACTCATAAAATCAGTGCTGTGTGAGTTTTATTTTTTGTTTCTTTCCCAGCAAGTAACTGAGAATTGCTAACGGGAATCTGTTTGAAACATCTCAATTACCATAACCTGCAATGTCAGCAAGTGACAGCAAAAGAAAACTAAATGTGTGTTCTGCATAAAATTTACTCTCTTGAGGAAAACTACTGGTGGTCCACTGACAGAATGAGATTGGTGGCCTGTTTTATATTCACTTCTACTCTTTATTGACTTTGTTCAGGCGTATGATTAGCAGAGTTTAACTCTGGCAGCTGATCCATTTCTGTTAGTTTCCCAGTGGCTGGGTTCATGGTCCATTTTTGGTCTTCTATAGCTATGGCATCCTGAAGATTCCTTTTCTCAGTGACAGTAATCGCTAAAATTCTATGTTGAACATTGAAAAGACAGAATCCGTTCACTCTTTGGCTTCATGCAACATTACAAATCAGAGAGAAGGTATCCCAAATCAGTTAGAAAGGATGAGGATGGGGGTAGGGGTTGGGGAGTGAGCAGACTGATGGCAATTAGGGAGAAGATTAAGAATGTGCCTTTGTCAGCCTTTAACATTAATTTTTATTTTAATGTTGTACCAGTGTATGCCACTATTAGGAAACTTTGCTAGTCAGATGCATTTATTTGGGCATTATAGATGGATAAATCCAGGGAAGCATGTTCACAGTTTTCGGCAGTACTCCGCACTGGGTTAACAGTTTTGAAAAACTGTTCCTAAGGAGTTAATACATAGAATTCTGCAAAGGTAGCATTAAATACAGAACTTGAGGTCATCTCCCATATGTGAACACACCATAATCTACTTGATGATACGAGGCATTGTAGGTGCCGGTATAAAATATATTCCTTTCCCTCAAGAGTTAAGCTCCAGTCAGTGCTGCATTAGCTGATCCAAGTGTGAAACTGTAGGAGGGATGCTGATAATGAGCTTATTCTGATTGTTATTCATTGGCATTTTCAACAAAATACTTCCATGTGAATATTAGGTGAGGCCATATTAAGGCTTTGCTCTGAAAGTCCTGCCACAATCAATTAGGCTGCCAACTCTTTCACATCTGAAGAAAGGCCATTTAGGTACCAGAAAACACCAGGTATCTTTGGAACTGTACCTTGTTAATTAATGGGGATAATTGGTGCGGAAATTAAAAAATGTTAAAAAATACTTGGCTTTTTTTAATTCTCAATGTCCCACTCTCATGTCTGCACCCTTCATTATGTGCCAGTTCACTGTTAACAGTAACTTTGGGACCCTTTTGTTTTAATCATATCTAATTTAATAATTATCTCAAACATTTTTTCCATCAAGTAATTTGTTTTCCAGCCAAGTTTACCAATCAAGTTTAATCCTTAGTATGTATCGTGCCCAATTTAGCAATTGAGTGCAGCTTTGCAACAGTGCAATTGTTAACATGACCAATGTAAAAATTAACTCACAGTTTGCAAATGTAATTCTTCATCAGTCTGAATACAATAATTACCCACAACTAATTCACAGAAGAATATATTTATAAAATTCTCCTGCCTAGAGTGATCATGACCAATTTAAAAGATGGATTCAACTTGATTCCCTTTCTTCAATGACTGTCGTACACAATTTAATCATCAGATTTGATTCTTTCTACATCTAGAGTGCATATATTTCATCAACTTTAAATACTGGAAACTAGATGTATTAAATTTACCAATTAACAGTAATTTTATTAATGCGCCAGCATCTAAAGTGTCTTGTGCTTCCACTCTCAGGCCTGTATGGGGAGATTTCTGCCTTCTAATGCTTCAGGTTTTGATATTCAATATTCTCAGAGGATGACAAGCAAACCCAATATCATTTCCAATTCACCTGGTGTTCTGCTCCAGAAAACACCTTACACAACTGTTGGACTTCTTAGACCTTTATAGTAGTCTCAGCTGCTCCACTACCCTGTCAATGTCCTGGACTGCCCATGAGCAACGTCAGGGGAGGTACACTGGTAGATCAACCAAAATATTGTCATCAAGTTTCATTTTTCCAGTATCCAGGACCATTATATTGCCTAGGAACATTGCATAAAAGAAATTAATAATGAGAGAGGAGGAGGCAATGGCCCAGTGGTGTTATTGTTTAGATTACTAATCCAGTCACCCAGATAATGTTCTGGGGTCCTGGGTTTGAATTGCACCATGGCATATGGTGCAATTTGAATTCAATAAAAACTGGAATTATAGTCTAATGATAACTGATAAACTGTTGTTGATTGTCAAGAAAAATCCATCTGGTTCACTAATGTCCTTTAAGGAAGGAGTCTGGTCTACATATGACACCAGACCCACAGTAAAATGGTTGACTCTTAACAATAAATGGACAATAAATGCTGCCTTGACCAGAGACACCCACATCCCATGAATGAATAATAAAAGTGTCATAAGGCTGCCTGATTTTCTCTGCAGTCATTAGTTAATGAATGGAAAATTGTGTTAGGCTCCCTTATAAATGTACACTCCTTACTATCTGATTTTCCTTTACACATTGTGCTCAGACAATCCCGTATGTTCAGGAGTAATAAGAGAAAAAAATCAGTCCTATTGTATTAATGTAATTGCAGTGACTATTAAATGATGTATTTCTAGTGATGAGTGAATGCACCAATTGTTCCTTGCATTGTTTTGGTAATCAGGGCAAAGAATTAACCCATCAGACTTCAAGAACCGAGAGTGGGTCTTTCCAGAAGACAGACTAGCATACTGTCAGCCAACTTTACAGTATCGAGGATTCTGTGCCTATACATTTGGTGCAAGACATGGTCTCCTTCTGAGAGGTATGCAAGATTCACCAGTCATCTGTTCAGTTGAAACAATTTGCTTAATTCATGAAAAACCTATTCGGTCTGCACACCAGAATATCTGACAAGGAAAACAGATAGCCAGTGCTTAGTCCTTGTCACATGAACAGACTGCTAGGTGATGCACAATAGCTGGTTATTAGTAGCTCTGCTTCAATTTTTGATGGTAACCCCGACAGATTGCTTTTAAGTAACTACTCTAACATTGTAAGTTATCTCCTAGCACTTCACAGGATTGTAATCAGATAAGATTTAACATCAAGCAATGTAGGGAATTATTAGGAGAGCTGACCAAAAACTTGGTGAAAAGTTAAATGTTGTAATCTGTCTTATAGGAGAAACTAGAGAGATAGAAAGCATTAGGGAAGGAATTCCACAGCATAATGCCTTAGCAACTGAAGGTACTGTTTCCAGTAATGGGGCAAAAGAGAACAATTTCCATGTTGCCAGTATTTTAGTGAAAACCTGAACTTTATTTCGCATCGTCCCATGAAAGCATCAGAGATTAGAAACTTGGCAGAGTTAAGGTGCTGGGGATGGGGGATGCTAGAATACATTTTGCCAATATGTTACTGGACGACACGTTTAACTGTGCAGATCTTTACCTTTTTAGGCCTCCCTAAGTTTGTTCTGACAAATAACAATGCAATAATTTATTTAAATTTAAATGGAAAGTACTTTCTACTTTGCCAAAAAATCTGTAAGTTGACAGCATACCCCTCTAAGTAACGTGCTGTGTAAGAGTTTTTGATGTCTAACATGAGAATGGAAACATATTGGGTGGATTGACTTTTAAAAACCCATGATCTCGTTGGGACACTGTTTCTACAAAAAGATGTTTCTGGTTCAGGTATTAGGTGCCCTGTAAACCATGTATAATAATGCAGTGTCCACTTTTAATTCAGCATTTTTATGGTTTTCTCAGTCTGTGCTGTCCATAGGATTCTCGGCCAGAATATTAGGTATTGGTAACAACTGACTGGCTGCCTTTTCCTGAGCCAGCATTTAGTTTCAGGCCATTTACCAATGGCTCCATTGTCTGTGTGCCTACTGGATACAGGAAAGTGATGTGAAGAATGCATGGGGAGAGGTGGTGGGCACACAGAAAGGTTCTGGGGTGTTTGAGGGATCATAGGAGATATGGGAGGTCTTGGAGGGAACACGAGGGCTGGCCAGGGGATAAAGTTGAGACCTTGTGAGATTGGCTATCAAGATTACAAATGGGCTCATGTGCCCAGATCAAAATAATACCAGTGGGGGCATCTTTCACTGAGATGTGGCTGTGAATTTGGAAATTTTGCTGACTCATGTTTCTTGTATCAAAATCTGGCCTTAATAAATATGACCAACAGTTTGATCCTTTGCCATCGACTTGGTTGCAATGAGGTGCATTATTAGATAGTGTACTTTATACATTAGGTTGGAGATATAAGTGGGCTAAAGTCAACTGAATTTATGATGATCAGTGTGATTTTAAACTTACATACTGTATTTAAAACCATAAGACAAAACAGCAGAAGACCATTCTGCCAATTATGTTCACCCTGCCAATCAATGAGATCATGGCTGATCTGATAATCCTTAACTCCAATTTTCTCCCTAATCCTCATAACCTTTGATTCCCTTAATGCATAGAAAACTGTATATTATAGCCTTGAATATAATTAATGTCCCAGCCTTGATAGCCGTATGCGGTAAAGAATTCTGTGGGTTCTGATTTTGTTCCAATCCAAAAATATGGCAGGCAAATTCTATTGAGAAGAACTGGTTACAAAACTGTCTAAGATATTTAATGGAGCGCTATAAAAAAGATGGAGAAATTCAACATTAAAAAAATTCAGATGTTTCGCTATGGAAAAGTGAGAATTCATAAATCAGAGGTTGCAGTAGCATGCTTTATCTGAGACATTGGAACATAGGACACACTGCTCAGAGGACAAAAACTTTGTTGATATAACTTTGTAACCAAGTACCAGGAGCTACATGTATGCATCAAAACAGAATGTTTCTAAAATTCAGTTGTTTCCTTGTTTGGACTGTGTTTGACCTTATTAGCTGAGATCATTGTGTTGTGGACATGAGGTAATATTAAAATTTAGTTTAGAATTTTCCCTGGTCTAATTTTTCTTTTAACAAAGGAAACCTCATAACTGTTGTTTGTTGTAATTAACAGATTTCAAATAAAATGGGGAAAAAAAAAATAAAAGTAACTGACTGCAGAGCAAGATCCCCACTTCCACCTACTTTTCAATTCTTTCCTTTCTAAATTAACTGTGGTTGTTCTGGCTGAGTGTACCAGAACCTTGTGAATTGGCAATTATAAGACAAAACAAATTTATCACTCTTTTTCATAAAAGTTTAAATTTCCTGGCATTGAGATTCACTACCATTTTTTCCTTTGATTTAACAAGCAGTAGGTCCTTGCTTTTCCTGATTTATATTAATGATATAGACCTTGGTGTACAAGGAACAATATCAAAGCTTGCAGATAATATGGAACTTGGAAGCATTATCAACCATGAGGAGGACTTCAAAAGGGTATGAAAGGATTTAAAGGAGCTGAAGTATTGTGTGCATTTCTGGAATCCACATTATAGGAGGGATGAGATAACACTGGAGAGGGTGTGAGGACATTTACCAAGATGTTGCAAGCTTTCAATTACAAGGAGGGATTGGACAGACTATGTTGTTTTCCCGGGAGCTAAGGAGATTGAAAGAAGATATGGTTGAAATATATAAAGTTATGAGAGGCATACATAGGATTGACAGGAAGAAAAGTTTCCCCTTGATGAATGGATCAATGACCAGGGGTCGTAGAATTAAGGCAAATGACAGAAGGGATGCAAGGAAAAACATTTTCATCTGGAGGGGGTGTGAATCTAGAACTCACTGTCTGTAAGGATGATAGAGGCAGACACCCTCAAAATGATGTCAAGGCACACATGGCTATGGGCCAAGTGCTGGAAAATGGAATTATAATAGTTGGGTGATTGTTTTTAACTGTTGCAAGCACAATAGGCCAAAGGACCCTTTTCTGTGCTGAAGATCTCTATCACTCTCTGTTGATTTCATTGAAATGTACAATAGTAATCCAGGTATTCCAGTGACTCCACTCTTTCCGCAAATTCCTGCAATTTTTCTCCTGTTTCAAATATTTATCTAATTAGCTTTTGAAAGCTACAACTGAAGCTTTTTCCACAACCCCATCAGATGACGTACTTCATTCCTAACTATTCACTGCATAAAAGAATTGTCCTGATGAAAAAACGTCAACTTTCCTGCTCCTCTGCTGCTGCCTGACCTGCTGTGTTCCTCCAGATCCACACTGTGTAGACTCTGACTTCAAGCATCTGCAGTTCCTGCTTTCTTCTAGTTTTCGTTCAAATTGCCTTTGGTTGTTTTGTCTTAAATCTGTGTCCTCTGGTTCAGTCATAGGAAACAATTTCTCTTTATTGACCTTATTGCGTGAACAATTCTGTCAAAGGAGTAATCGGGTCTGTTAGCCATTTCAGAAATGAGTGCACATAGGGATGCTGTGGATTAAAAATAAAGCGCCACACAGATGTAGCAGAATAATTAGGTGTAAACTATTCTATACAAATGTCAAAAATTAATCTGTCCTTTATTTGTTCCAGGAAATCCAAATGTTGGAATACTTAAATATCAAGAAAAGTACTACGCATTCTCCTCGAAAGAAGCTGCAAGTGCTTTTGCTCAAAAGCCTGATTGTTACATTGCTATGGCAGCAGAGGAAGCTAAGCACTCAGCAGAACTCATTCAGTTGCTAGAGCTCCATCAGCAGTTTTCCACAATCACTCCCTACACACAGGTGCAGCTACTTTTCAAAGAAAAGTGACTACAAATCATATTGCTCGCAGTCTTAGTGTAACTGCAGGCCGTTCATGATTCCAGCATCCAGTGTTCTGTCCACAAATCTTAATATTGCAGCATTGTGCACAAGGATAATGAACAAAACACAGAAAATACTGAGCTAATGCAGATGTTGTCAGGAATTAAATGTCTATTTTGAATCTATTCTCCAAGACCATCCCCACCGCCACCTACCTCTGCTTGACTGAGCTCATCCTCACTTTGAACAATTTGTCCTTTAACTACTCTCACTTTATTCACGTCAAAGGGGTGGCCATGGGTACCCTCATGGGCCCAGTGTGCCTGTCTCTTTATGGGGTATGTGGAACATTCCCTGTTCCTATCTTGCTCCGGCCCACACCCACAACTCTTGCTCTGGTATATCGATGACATCATTGGTGCTGCTTCCCTGTCTCGTCCAGAATTGGAAAATTTATCAATTTTCCTTCCAATTTCCATGCTGTCCTCACCTTTACCTGGTCCATCTCTGACTCCTCCCTTCTTTTCCTCACATCTCTGTTTCCATTTCTGGGGATATGCTGGCCACTAATATCCATTATAAACCCACTGACTCCCACAGTTACTTTGTGCATGACGGTACCCTGCTTCCTGTAAAGACTCCATTCCATTTTTACAGTTTCTCCATCTCCATTGCATCTGCTCCAATGATGCCAGTTTCTCCAAGAGAGTCTCCAAACTGTTTACCTTTTTCAGCAACTGAGGATTCCCTACCACTGTTGTTGACAGGACCCTCAGCCAGATCCGACCCATCTCCCACACTTTGGCCCTCACTCCTTCTCTTCCCTCCCACAACAGCGATAGGGATCCCCTTGTCCTCATATACCATCCCACCAGCATCCACATCCAAAGGATCAAGGGCCACCATTTCCCCCACCTCCAACAGGATGCTACAACAACACACACACCCCTCTCCTCTCTTGACAGCCTTCCGCAGGGACCATTCTCTCTGGGACATCTTGGTCTACTCCTTCTTCACTCCCAACACCTCCCCCATATCCCTATGGTACCTTCCCTTGCAATCAGAAGGTGTAACACCTGCCTGTTTACTTCCTCCCTCCCCAGTATCCAAGGGGCAAAACATACCTTCCATGTGAAGCAGTGATTCACCTGCACTTCACACATTCGCTGCTCACAGTGTGGTCTGCACTACACTGGGGAGAGGAAATATAGGCAGCGTGACCACTTCGCAGAACATCTACGCTCTGTCCACAAAAATGATCCTGAGCTTCCTGTTGCCTGCCATTTCAAAACATTAGAGTAAATGCTGAAGATGGGAGGGTCAGGAGTAAACAATAGGTTGAAGATGGAGCCCAGAGAGGGAAAAACAGTCAGGCAGTCAAAGGAGTGGGTAAAGGTCAGCCTGGGAGAATGAGCAGCTGGTTAACATCTCTGAGCGAAGTTCAGCGTAAGCTGGAAGAACGACACCTCATTTTCCGTTTGGGGGTTCTGCAGCCTACCGGAGCCAACCCCCACACACCAGGCCTTGCCATCACATGGGCTGCTACCACACACAAGCCATTGTCAGCCACTAACAGTCCCCATTAGCAGCTGCTCATTCTCCCAGGCTGACCTTTACCCACTCCTTTGACTGCCTGACTGTTTTTCCCTCTCTGGGCTCCATCTTCAACCTATTGTTTACTCCTGACCCTCCCATCTTCAGCATTTATACCAACCTTTTCCCAGCTACAATCGGTTCTGAAGAAGGGTCACTGGACGCAAAACATTAACTCTGCTTTCTCTTCAAGGATGCTACCAGGTCTGCTAGGTTTTCCCAATGAAAATGTTCCATTCTCATTTTTTCACTTCAATACATTCAGCTAAGAGGCTACTTCTGTTCAAACCTTTTTGGGTTGTCGTCAGACATTCTTCTGCACCCTTTAATTATGGTATTTCAAATATTCAGTGTTTCGGAAATAAGAAACTGATATTGATCATATGCACAAAGTAGGAAAGTGAAATAATTGAGATGAATTAGAGATAGCATGGAGGGAAGATGTGGCAGCAATTAAAAGAAATAAAGAAGATAAAGAAAAATAAATAATGAGAGTTGAGAAGTACTCGGGAGACATTAAAATAGAAAGAGGTTTTCTCTAAATTGAATTTTCTCCCATTCCCAGTGATGATAATTTAGCCTATAAAATTAGCTTTTTCTTCAGAATCTTAAAACAATCTGAAATATGTTTGAGTACTTTTATGTACCCTTAAGCTAACATTTTCCTACTACAACAAAAACAAAGTTGCTGGAAAAGCTCAGCAGGTCTGGCAGCATCTGTGAAGGAAAAAACAGAGTTAACATTTCAGGTCCGGTGACCCTTCCTCAGAACATTTCCCTATTCCATTATCACAGAACTGATTGAATTTGTAAAGAACTTTACAAGACCTCAGTACGCCTCAAAGCACACTTTTTTTTTCATTCATAGGATGTGGGTATCATTGGCTGGGACCGGCATTTATTGCCCATGCCTAGTTACCCATTACAAGATCATGGGGAGATCATCCACTTATATTTCTGTCACCTTAAAAATACCACAAGCAAACACATCTTCCCTGCCCTTCCACTGTAAGCATTCCACGGGGAGATGGTTTCCCTCACAACCCCATGGTCCACTCCTCCATTACTCCTAACACGTCCTCAAAACTTCCCACCCAACACAAGACACCTTCCCATGCAATCGCAGAAGGTGTAAGCCTTACCCCTTCCCTCCTCACTGTCGAAGGCTCCAAACTCACCTGCCGGTAATTTACTTGTACTTCTTTCAAACTAGTCTCCTGCATTCACTGCTCAAAATGCAGTTTCCTTTGAATCGATGAGATGAAACGCAGACTGAGTGACCGTTTTGCCGAACATCTCCACTCTGTCGGTAAGAATGACCCTGACTTTCCAGTTGCTATCTGTTTCAATAAACCATCTTGCTCCCTTACTGGCATTTGGTCCTAGGCCTAATACAGTGCTCCAACGAAGCTTACCTGATGCTGGAGGAACACACTTCATTTTCCAATTAAGCACCTTATAGCCTGAATGACTCAATGTTGTGTTTAACAACTTCATTATCTCTGTCCTCCATTCTGATTACGAACCCACCTTTCCCAGACTGTGTTTGTGCCTTGTTGGCTTTACTCTCAACACAGCAAACTTATTTTCTCCCTCTCACACCTAAAATCTCCCCACCCCTGGCCTCATCCTATGTCCAACCCTCCCTCTCATCCCAGCATCCTTGACCTGACACAACCTGTCCATCTTCTCTCCCATCTATCCACTCCTTCCACCTCACTCACCGCTCCCCACCCCTCCCTACGTGCACTCACTTATCACCATCCCACCTACCTTTCCCAGCCCCACCCCTCCTCTATTTATTTCTGAGCTCCCTTCCCCCTCCACATTTCTGAAGAAGGGTCCCGAACTGAAACGTCAACTCTCCTGCTCCTTCTGATGCTGCCTGGCCTGCTGTGTTCCTCCAGCTCCATACTGTGTTATCTCTGACTCCAGCATCTGCAGTGCTTACTATCTCTATCATTGACACATATTTTACATCTCTAACCTTCTTTTACTACCATTAGCACTCTCTTTGTCCTTTGCTCTGGGCACCCTCACTTCCTCCCTTTCTGTCAACAGCATAAGGAACCCTTTCTGTCAACAGCATAAGGAAGTCATACCTGACTTGAAATGTTAAGTCTATTTCTGTCTCCACTAATGTTGGTGAGATTCTCCAGCATTTTCTCTTTTTATTCAGGAGAGATGTTGGGAGACAATTCTTCAGGCGACGAATAGTGGTTGTGTGCTTCCACAAAAAAATAGTAGATACTCACTCAATTAATATTAAGTCTTACATGTTTGCAAATCAGGGATATTTAAAAAATGGAGCCAAAGTGGGTGGATTAAATTAAGATACAGATCTGTTATAATCTTACTCAATGATGGAACATACGCAGAGTGACTGAATGGCTGACTCCTCTATATATTTTACGAAATACCTAGTTTTTCTGCCTGGAAGTTCTTCTGACTCAGCGTGTCTATAGGGAGGAGTGGTGGGATGCAGGCAGAAACAGTCCAAAATCCAGAGCACAGAACAACACTTCATAGAAATATCACATGTAACTTTTGTAACCTTTAAACCATCGTGGCTCCAGCAGATGGACTATGATGCTAAAGAAAACTGATTCTTACCATAATGCAAATGTTCCTAAAATGACGAAGGTAGTTTTAGACAACAAAGTTTTATGTTAGCAGATAGGGTGCGTGTTTGAGTTTATTGCCTGAGGACTAGGAAAGAAAAGAAACTTGCATTATTCCTATCTAATTGCTCACAATGTACTATAAGCAAGATAGTGAAGTACTGACAACATCATTCTTCAGGCCAGGAGGAAATCTTCAATGTACTTTATTCTATAACATTGTTATGTTTTCTTTAAAGTAATATTTTCTGTGGTGGGGAGGAAATTCATTGAGGATGAAGACAAGTAAACCATTTTTTTATGATTCAAGCATTGCAGAGCAAGTCATTTTTCAATAATGTATTATCATTTTGCAATCAGGCTCTTGAGTCTTTTTTCCCTTCATCTTCTATGCTTTCTATATTTTAGGCAGACAGATGCTTAAAATCCATCGAAAAGTTTGACAGCTGCACACAAACTGATACTCACATCCTGGAACCAAATATTGTTAAATCATACGAATGGAACGAGTGGGAGTTGAGAAGAAAAGCAATTAAATTGGTAGGCATGCCTTTTTTTTAAAGTTTACTTGCCAATATTTTTAAGTTGTAATCTACCAACTAAAGCTAACATCAGTTCACAATATCCACATCTATAAAGGTACACCAAACCCATACAGGTGACTAGCTACAAAATCAGAAATTGCTGGAAAAACTCAGCAGGTGAGGCAGCATCTGTGGAGAGAAAGCAGAGTTAGCATTTCAGGTCCAGTGACCCTCAAGAATGCCGTAATTGAATGGCAGAGCAGAATCGATGGGCCGAATGGCCTAATTTCTGCTCCTATGTCTTATGGTCTTATAACTGCTTGTAGCTAGGAAAAGGATTGTTTATGTGCTAGAGAAGGGGGTAGGGGGTAAGGAGTAAACAATAGGTGGAGGTGGAGCCCGGAGAGAGAGATAAACAGTTGGACAGACAAAGGAATGGGTAGAAGTCAGCCCGGGAGAATGAAGAGCTGCTAATGAGGACCATTAGTGACTGACAATGGGTTGTTTGTGAGATAGTAGGAACTGCAGATGCTGGAGAATCTGAGATAACAAGGTGTAGAGCTGGATGAACACAGCAGGCCAAGCAGCATCAGAGGAGCAGGAAGGCTGACGTT